TACTAAATATTGATTTCATTTCTTTTTTTGTGGTGCCCAAATTTATGCACCTGCCTGATTTGGTTTAAACAATTATTGCACACTTTCTGTAAATCCAATAAACTTCATTTCACTTCTCAAATATCACTGTGTGTGTCTCCTATATGATATATTTAACTGACATTTTTATTGTAACAACCAACGACTTATACAGGAAAATGATGACTATTAACAAGGTTGCCCAAACTTTTGCATCCCACTGTATGTGTCTGTAGTATTGATTAAATAACTGTGTCCAGATCTGACAGGGTGTGAGCGGTTTTACAATGATTTACAGAACAAACTCACCATGATGCTCACCTGCCAACACAGACACCGCCAGAATCAGGATTATCAGATAGTGCTTAACAGCCATTTTCACAAACTGAAATGACAAGAACAAAGATTAACACTCCGGTTTTTCAGCCACTGGGCATTTTTGTTTTTTGCATCACTGTATAAAATATAATTCTCTATGAGAAAAAAAGTTCAGTTCAGCAAGATATTCCACCATGCTTTTTCATGTCAGAAAGCTGCAAATAAAGATATAAAAGAATAATGTTCCACGCGTGTAAGGGTTTGCAATATTTTACCAAGTGCTTAAACGTAAATATCACAAAAACAATATGTATTGCAAGCAGAAGTAATTAAGTTACTAAGCTTAAAAAAAAAGATAACTTGTTGGTCTATAATATGTGACGCACATGTCAAATGTATCCCTCATGAATGATATCAAGTCATTTTAAGCCACAAACAACATTCCGATAACAAGGTAGAAGCTGCAATCAGTTTTTGGCAGTGACTTGTGAAAATGGCGCAGCTGAACGCAGCTTTATAACAAATTGATAACAGCTTGAGGAAAACAATTATCAACTGTAATAAAGAAGTAAAACTTTTAATACAATCCTTTTTTCGAAAGCACGAGATTGGGGTAGGACCAAATAATAGGCATGTACTATTAACACCGGAAACATAGCCGTTCGGAGTTACTAGCTAGCGGTTTGGTTAAAACTCAAAATTGACAGTTCGATAAAAAAGGCAAACAGACACTTACTAGCAAAAAATATTCCGCGGGCCAGACAATGCCCGACATAGGTCTATTTATGTGTTTTATGCTGTTTAAATCGTGAAAATGTAGCATGAAACACAAAAAGTGCCGAGTCATTCAGCGAGCACACTGCGAATCAATGGAAAGGTTAACTTAAAAGTTTATCTAACGTCTTAGACTTGAAAACTTGTTTTGGGGTAAATACCTGTTTTCGTAGCGTTCAAGTTGTATGTAAATGCATAAAATCATCCAGCTTTCCAAATTACCTTGGCTGTATGTGCCCGTTTGAAGCTGAAATAAGCTCCGGGACAGCCAACAGGAAATATACGACGGAAGAGCCACTGGAAGTGCCACTGGAAAGAAAGAAAAAAGTGGGCACGTCTTATGTTTTTTCTTTTTTTCACAACTCTGAGATTAAAGTCAGTGAGAAAAAGCTCACAATTCTGGAAAAGGAAAAAAAA